TCATGAATAAATAAATTTCTTAAAAAGTTGAAAAACTGCCTTACATTGGTCAAAATAAAACAATTCCGAAGTACTGTATTAAAGGCGCATGAAGTTGTTCTTAAAAACCGTATCCGTTTCCTCTTCAGGACCGGCTGTGCGCCTTTGAAAACATTTTCGGCCCGAAGGTAAATCGGCGTCGGACATGATAATAGTGAAAAAAAAATCCAGAAAATGCAAATATTTCTTAGGTTGCTGTAGTTGGGACCTTTGACAATGGTCACAGCTCCGTACCAGGATAATATATCGATTTTCCTTTCAGTGTTCGTATTCATCATGAAGGTTTTCATCAACTCCCGTGCCGTTTTCATGTCTGAAAAGCCCAAAATGACTGACCACAACCACGCAGGCTTCCATTTGATGTACAGAAAGGTACTGCTCGATAAATGCCATCAAGGGTCGGCGCCATCGGACAGGCAATGCCACAGTTGTCACAGGATAGGCCACTTTTATGAGTCGTGTCCTTTCAGAATGCAAGGGTAAATAAGGCCTTTAAGATGAGCAATGTATTGAAAAAAATATTTTTTTAAAGAAAAGATAATAGGCGAAGATATACATCTAACTCCACAAACAACAGTTATCGCTCCAACGACGGGTTCAATAATCACAGGAAGACGTCAGAGGATTCTAATGGTGTTGGAGATCGATTGGGCTATCATAAAAGGGTAAAAATATCGTTTCAGGTTTTTTTTGTGCTGAGAATTATGTAGATTCACATAAAAATGAAAAAAATTGAAGAAACATCCCTGAAATGAGAAAAACCACATCGAAAAAGCGAAGATGTATCGAGTGGTCAAGTGGCCGACTGCGAGTTTTCTAGTCCATTTGCTGCGAAGAAGCGCGCGAATTCAAATTGTGTATTCATTTTCATAGTTTTTTTTCAGGATTTTGTCAGGGTTTTCAAGGTTTTTGTTAATTTTTCTCCCAGATATCTCGAAAAATCTGAAAAAATCCCAAAAAAAACAATATTTGACAAATATCTGAAAAAACTATAAAAATAAATAAACTTTTGAATTCGCGCGCTGCTTCGCAGCATAGGGACAAGAAAACTCACACTCGGCCGCTAGGCCACCTTACCCAACTTTCTTTTTTTCATGAGGTTTTTTTGCATTTCAGGATTTTTTAAAAAATTTTATCACTATTTTTATGTGAATCTACATGATTTTCAGCACAAAATAAAGCAATAAAAATTATTACACCACCTCTAAGCTGAAAAACACTATTTTTTCAGACATATGGTCAACGACCCTACAAATAATCTTCTCATCCATCACGCTCAAACTGGATCTTAATCATTACATCCAGAATATTCCAGTTCTTTTCGCTTCTGTTCATTTTTTCTCTCAGTATAATTATCCATTTTTTATGTCTTACACACACCCTTTATCAGAAGTCTTATTGCCCCGCACACATGTCATCCACCCCTCATCTTTTCTAGTGAACACTGAATATCTGAAGTCGAAAAAGAAAAATCTCCATCCCCTCATCTTTTTTTATTGGATTCTTTAATTATTAAATTTACAGCACTGCGTAATTCGGATGGAAATCCTGATTAAACCTTGTCTCTCTCCCTCTCTCCGCCCTTACTCTGCCTCGTTATTTATGTTTCTTTTTTTTCATGAATTCGTTTTTTTCTGTATCAAAAAAAGTCCCTATAACCTGATCTTAGTCGCTTCTTCACACATTACCGCGACACTGCCACACTGCCCACACTCTTCTTCTTGTTTTCTAACTTTCCGCATAGTAAGCCCGATATATCACTGAAAAATTGGAGAATCGGAAGAGAGAAAAGTGTACGAAATGAGCGGGAGTCGGTTGGGAAGTGTATGTTTACCCGCGGGAGAGAAGAGAATGGAGCAAGCGATCACTTCGTTCATGTGTCTACGTCTTTCTTCAGTTTCTTGGAACATTTCGTCGATTTTTGATACACTCTGACAATGCCTAGATTTTTTTGGAGTGATTTAAGCAAGAATTTAAGACTTTCCATCTGAAAATCGCTTTATTGTTGAAAAATTTAAATTTACAAAAAAACGAAAATCGAAAAAAATTTTCCCAATTTTAGCGACTTTTACCATTTTTGATGTAATTCGGATAAAAAATCGAAAAAACTATGAAAATTGAGAAAGTCTGGAAAAAAAAATTTTTTGCTGCAAAAAATTCGAATTTGAAACATTATTTTCTCAAATTTCCGACGATTTTTATCTTTTCTCGATGATTTTTATAATAAACATTCATTTTTTTCGAGTTACTGTGAATTTAAATGATGAAAATAGTAGAAAAATTGAGAAAATTGTTTGAAAAATATTCGAAAAAAAATCAACTCCGGCGGTATCGTGTCGAGACCCAGCCTCAAAACAGCATGCTCTTTTAAAGGAACATGCTTCGAAGAGGTTGGGCTTCGACACGGTACAGCATGCGCGAGTGAAAAAAAAAACTTTTTTTTCTATTTTCTGCCAAGTTTTCTCTAATTTTCAGCGATTTTTCTGTTTTTTTCTCAACTTTTCAGGCTCAAAAATTCTCCAGCTTTTTTCGCTTTCAAGCGAAAAGCTTGCATTTCGTCGATTTTTCGATTTTTGACACACTCAGATAATGCCTAAATTTTTTGTAAAGTGATTTAAGCGAGAATTTAAGAAAATTCAGCGAAAATCGCTTCATTTTTGCAAAATTTTAATTTAAAAAAAACGAAAATTTAAAGGTGGTGTACGGTGAAATTTTTTATTGCATCAAAATGTGCAGAAATGCATGTAGATTGACATAAAAATAGAGAGACAATTCAAAAAAATTCCTTCATCGAGAAAAACCCATCGAAAAATACGCTGAAAGCCCTTAGGGACTAGGTTTTTTCTAGGCCGCCCGGTGAGTAAAAGCGCGCGAATTCAAACTTTTAAATTTTTTTCGCTCGTTTTCACCTTTTTTCGGTTTTTTCAAGAGTTTTCTAGGTTTTTGTCAATTTTTCTTCCAGATACATCGGAAAATTTGAAAAAACAGTGAAAACGAGCGAAAAAATTTTAAACGTTTGATTTCGCGCGCTTTTACTCACCGGGCGGCCTAGAAAAAAAGCTCGTCCCTAAGGGCTTTCAGCGTATTTTTCGATGCGTTTTTCTCGATGAAGGAATTTTTTTTGAATTTTTTCTTTATTTTTATGTCAATCTACATGCATTTCTGCACATTTTGATGCAATAAAAAATTTCACCGTACACCACCTTTAAGATAAATACCGATATCGTGTCGAGACCCTACCTCTTTATAGCATGCTCCTTTAAAGGAACATACTCCAGTAAGGTTGGGTTTCGACACGATACAGTACGCGAGAGCGGAAAAAAGGTGTTTTTTTGTTTTTTTTTACTTTTTGCCAACCTTTTTGAAGTGTGAAAAGCGATTTTTCGACTGGTTTTCCGCCGTTTTTTCGTTCAAAAATCGAAATTCTCGAGATTTCTTGCTTTCAGACCCTAATTTGCATGATTTTTCTTTCTAAATCTCTGTTTCCTGAATTATAAATTTTTAAATTTTTTCTGTAAGTAACTCCAAGATTGCGTCATTTGCCGCAACCAACTGCAACGGTTCTTTCCCTTCTCTTTACTTCGAACTGCAAAAAATTGAGACCAGACGACAAATAGATCAAAACCGCGGCCGCAGTCCTATAAATTTGACCAACACCCGCCAATGCAAAACACTCGTTTTGAAAAAATAAAAATAGCGTTTTTCCCTTTTTTGGTCTTTTTCAACTTTTTTCTCGTTTTGTTTCGTTTCGTTTCAAGGAAAGTTTCATAGGAAACGATCCAATCGAAATCGTTCATATTCTTCTTCATTTTCTGGTTTCCTCTCGTTGTCTTACCTCTCTCCCTCTCTCTCGCTTTCCTCGCTGTCCCATCTCTATTCACTCGGCCATTCCGACAGTCTCTCTTCTCTTTTTCTCTCGCACTCTCCTGATCGCGCACACTCTCTCGCCGCTCAATCGGTCCTCATATTTTCCGCCCGAATTTCCCTCATTTTCGCGCCGAGATGATCCTAAAAATGTCAGCCATCGCGTAGAATTTAGCCAGAATTTCTGGATTTTAAGACCCTGGATTTGCGGGATTTTAAGACATCAAACGATACAATTTCTAGAAATTTTGATATTGAAAAAAACTAATAAATTTGAGCCAGTTTTTTCAGCAATCCTGTATTTCTTATAAGAAAATCTCGAATTTGAACATGCTGTATTCTATATCCGATCAAAAATTAAACGAATTTGTTCCGGTTGGCCAGAAAAACGTTGTTGCCTCACTCATTCATTTCCGCTCGCGCCTATTACGCAGGTGAATTTTTTGCTCTCGTGTTCAGCATTGAGCCACTTTCTCTATGAAAAAAACAATACGAACATCATTCATATCAATGAGCGCTCTCTTGATTGCCTTTTCTGATCAAATGTTGACTTTCCTAGCCACTATGTCTGCCTGAAAAGAGTCTGTGTTTGCTCTTTCGAATCGATTCGCGTTGTTTTTTGGATAAAAAAAAATTTTTTTTTACACAAAAAACCTCGAAAAAATTCACAGTTTGAGCATACATGAGCGATTTTTGGTAAATTTGAGAGTATTTTGAAATTTTTGAGGTCCCAAAAAATAGGTTTTGTTTTGTAGTTTAGCTCGCAAATGGTATCAAATTGTGAGCTCAAAAATTTCTCATTAAAAATTTACGGTAAAATCTGTAATAGAATGGCCTCAACTTGAAGTTTGAGCTCATATATCTCGGTTCCTATCGAAGATACCAAAAAGTGGTCAACTGACAAATTGCTTATCATAATAACACAAAACTTTTATCAGTTGACCCATTTTTGATATCTCTTACAGTAACCGAGATAATTGAGCTCAAACTTGACTGTGTGATGGCACTTCTATTACAGGTTTTCCTCCCAAATTCTTTCATATGTAAGGAAGATGCGTTTCCTTTACCTCTATTCACCGTTTAGGGGTTTCTCCAGTCGTTTTCGTTCGATGCAATTATACACAGTTTAAAGTGTTTCTTCTGGTTTTTCTTTTGACCACTTTCCTTCTAGATCAATATCTATCTTTTCTCGATTCTATGTTCTCCGCAATAATCTAAACCTAGGACTATCTGTTCATGAGTTTTTTTTTCCGTATTCTTCTTATTTTGGCCAGAAACTTGTTTTGTGATCCTTCTAGTAATTTTTAACTACCAGTTTTTACGAGTTGTATTCTTCAAAACTAGAAGGAATTCTCATTAGGAACCTTTTTTGGGATGTAATGCTCTACTAGATGCCCACCGTATTCTTTAGCTTTGAACTCAATTATTTCGGTTCCTATTGGAGATATCAACATTTTGTCAACTGATAAAATGCGTCCCATTTTATAGTTAAAATTTTATAACTTGAATATGTTTTGATATCTCTTACAGGAGCCGAGATAATTGAGCTCAAAGTTAAAGTAAAGTGCAGGCTTCTATCGGAGCATCTACAGTAGTTTTTAGTGGTATTTCTGTGGTTTTCTAGTATATAGCCTAGTCTAGAATTCATTTTTTTTTCGGCTAGTACGGTTTTTCATCATACCACCACACCGTCTACTCTTCCTGTTTTCCATCTTCTTTTGTCTAGTTGTTTAGACAGTCTGAAGAGATGGTTTTTGTTGTTTATTTGTTGGTTTCCGTACACTAGTTCGCCCCGTTTTTGGTTCCTGTAGACGTCGTTTGTTTGAACGACATATTTTTGGTTTCTAGAAACTTTAAAAGCTAAAAAAAGAGCCGTGCCCGGGCCTGACAGCCAAACGATCGTCTTTGGATTAGAATTTTTACTAATATCCAACTGAGAGCCATCGTACCAGGCAATCTTTAAGATTAGCGTTTCTTACTAATCACTCATGAAGGATGTATGCTACGGTTGATCTCCTTATGCATCTGCTCATCACTAGCAGATGTTCCCGTTTCATCCTTCCTCAGCACACACGCACACAGAAAGAAATGAACAGAAGGCGTGAATACTCTCTCTTTGTGTGTCTTCTCTTCTTTAGTCATCTCTTCTTCCTTCTTTGTCCGCCCGGTAGACTAGCTGATGACAAAACGACGAAGGAAAAACATTTTTTTTCCCGTTTGCTGTTGTTTCTCTTTGTGCTCATCTTCGACACAGTTTTTTTTCAGCCAAAAACTTTTTTGTTTTAGCAACAAAAAAACAAACACTTCAGACTAGTTAAGATTCTTTTCAAAAAGCTGAAAATTTCAGCTTTTGTAGCTACAAAACTTGTGTTTTTAGAATTTGTATCTGAAGATTCGAAATCCGTTGATTTGTGGGTTGTATAGATCGAGTTTTGTACTCAAATCGTCGTCTGAAAAGACTAGATTCCACTTGTACCGTTGAAATAAGATGACGTTGTCATGGAGTCTATTCGACTCTCCGATGACCAGGAACTCCGCATTTCCCTGCTTTGTTTTGAAATTCCTCTTTTCAAACTCTCATTGTGAATTCTAGTTGCTTCACACCATACTATTGAAAACACTAATCCCAGAATTCTTCTAGTTTCATTGATTTCCGACGTATCAGCTTGATAATTCAGATGTCATGATATTTTGTTCAAGTTACAAAGTGATAAAGAAGGATTAGGCGGGGATAAAAAGAGCAAATCTCTTCCGGAAACTTGGTGCCATTTTCGCAGAGTCTGAGGCTCAGACCTACGTTTGCTGGGAAGATTTTTCATTATCCCAATAGTCGGTGATTTGCATACTTCAAAATATGCCCAAAACGGAATGTGATAAGCGCTGTCATAGTTTCTTTTAGAATTAATATTTTCAGATAAACTCAGTTAGACAGGATAGAAGAACTCAAGAACTACGAAATGATATTAATTGGAGAACTGTATCTCGTCTATAAGCAAAGTTACAGACCAAACGGTTCGGGAGTCGTATGACCTGTAACTTTGTTCATAGACGAGATACAGCTTTCCAATTAATATCATATTGTAGGTCTTGAGTTCTTCTATCGTGTCTAATTCAGTTGGTCTCAAAACATTGATCCTAAAAGAAACTATGGCACAGGACCTATTTTCAAGTATGTTTTTGCTGTGGTGATTTGTGATTAATGTTCGTTATTATGACATATCCCAGATCAGGAAGACTCATGCATAGTAAATCATGTACGTCTTCTTTCTTTTTGCTTGTTCACATCGCTTTTCTCATTGTTTACTTCTTACTCGATGTCATCTTCTCTCCTCGAAAATAGAATCATTGGCTCAACAGGAAGCAATTCGCTTCCTTTCACTTTTCGTCCTTCCTCTCCCCCCTCTCTTTCCTCTTCTTACTCCAGATGGCACGAGGCGTTCTGGTGTGGCCACCATGTTAGTCAGCGAATGCCCTTTCCTCATGGGAGCACTTGGTGTGCCCTTTTTCTGACATATCTTATTGGGATAAGGTCTTTTTTCTATGTACTTTTCGAGCTCTGGTTCGGTGCATATTCTTTTGCTTTCCCAAGTATTTTTCCTCACGGCCATTTTCTGTCCCTTGAAAATAGGTCTTGCCATAGTTCTTTCAGAATCAATATACCAATAAAACTTGTATTATAGAACTTGACAAATGCTTCAAAATAAAGCTATTCAGAGAACTGTATCTTGTTTATGANCAAAGTTCCAGTCGGACCAAAAACTCGGGCGGGTTTTTGGCTTGTATCTATGTTCATAGACAAGATACAGTTTGGCAAATATTATCATCTTGTAGTACTCGTTGTGTTCTATCACGCCCAATTCAGTTGGTCAGAAAATATCGGTCCTGAAAGAAACTATGACATGCCCGTTTTTTCATAATCAACTATTCAAAAAAGTAGTATTCATATTTCTTGCAAAACCAAATGATTTTGGTCAAAATCACCATGTGAAAAACACCTCGGCCTTTGTTTAGTGTCATTCTCGGAGGACGAGTGTTCGTCCAGTCCACGAGTAAACAACTGGGTGGCGAGGGCCGGGTGAGAACGACCACGTCCCACCCGGACAACGACGAGACACTCACTGCATTATTCATGAATCGAACTAATGGGCAGAGTCTTAGAATTTTAAAGAAGTTCGTCTAGCCGGCCTGAAAGTTCACTTTGGTCGATTATCTAGTACGCTCTTAACATATATAAAAAGATTTCTAGCGTTTCCGTTCTCAACGTCATCGCTGCTTCCGACAAGAGTTTCTTTATATCCCTATTAATATTCATCTTGAGGTGCCCTGCAACAATTAGAGAATCTATTTATGTTTTTTGAAGCATCGTAAATTAGAAGCAACATCCATTTTTTCCCTCCTGAGAATGACAAATGATGTGAGTGTATGCACATTCTCTGTAATTAATTATCCAGTTGTTCTTGTGTCTTTGGCTTTCGAAGCGTGCTGCACCTCTTGGCTCCGCCCATACCCCTTTTTTCATTCGGATCTCTTCCGTTTTTTTTAATCCGGACTTGAAAATGGACCCTGTCATAGTTTCTTTTAAAACCAAAAATTTCTGACCAACTGAATTAGATAT